ACGTTAGCCCAAACTCTGCGTCATCACTGGGATACCACAGGAGCCCAGGGGAGTCCTGGTGTTCTTGAAGATGCTGATGTGAAGGTCTCAGGACAAAGGGGTGTGAATTCCTGACAGCATCCCAAGAATAAGGTGACATTTTAGCCTCATAGTCTGTGGGGATTGCAGAGTTAAACCCTCCCGTTCTCCTGCCTCCTCTCCCATACACACCGTGTTTGTGTGGACGTGTCTCAGCAGTCTCCTGGGGAGCATGAGATGTCCCAGCTGAAAAGGGAGAGGCCCCAGCAAACTCAGCGCAGTGCTGGTGGGTTTGGATGTGGAAGGACCCACCTGCTGCAGGCACCTCCAGCGCAGCTGAGCACCAGCCAGGGGCGGTGGTCCCATGGCCAGTGGTCCTGTGGCCAGCCTCGCATCTGTGCGTGCCGGGAGTGGGCAGTTCATGGTGGACTCCTGGGGACTACATGATCCCTCCACCTCTGTGGCTCCCCTTTATCTCAGAGGAGGCTTTCCTTTACATGCCCATCTACCTGCGATGTCCTCAGATGCTCGACGACGATGGTGAGATTGGGGCAGCCTCGAGGGCTCCTGCTGAGCCTGGTGTTGTGCTCCCCAAGGTGCTTTTCCCGTTTCCTTGTCTCCCAGGGCAGGTGCTCATCCAAGCCCTTCTTTCCCCTCAACTTCCTTTGCAGTGGGATGGTTTCTCTGGGGAATAGCTCGCATAGGGTATTTGATCTCCCTCATGGCCTGGATTGGAAATGGGACCTGAAACCTGCTCCTGGGCTGAGCTCTCAGACCATTTCTGTATCTCTCCGCACTCGGCCCAAGCTGATGCAACTCCTTGCAGGCGGAAAAGGAAAGGCACTGGGGCTGGGGTACATTGGTGGGCTGAGGAGTTTGCTTCGCCGCTGGGTCTGTCCTGTGGAAGCACAGCACTGACCAGCACCTTCTGCTCATGTGTATGCCTTTTCCCAAAGTACCCACACGGCGCAGTCAGCTGGATGCTCAGCAGCCGTTGTGGCTCCTGCACCCTCTGAGATAAAATAGACCAGGCTGTGCCAGTGACAGCTGTGTAGCGTTAGAGGGCAAAGGAATTCGGCAGAAAATACCCCCCTCATGGTCCAGCTTCTCCTCAGATACCAGAGGGGCTGGGGGTTGCTGGGCTTGGGTTCTGAGTGATGCCCAGTTTGGCTCTAGGAGTCTGGTGACGTCCAGTATCAGCCCAGCGGTGCTCAACGAGACCAGCACGGCCGTACGTACGTGTGTTGGTCGCGTTCACAGAGCTCACACGGCTGGATTGATCCTAGTGCGGCTTATTGGCGCAGCGACAGGGACACGAGGCCTTTGGGTTGATAAATTCCCGGGCTGCAGGGCACGAGCAGGTTTGGGTAAGAATGACACAGCCTGGCTATAAGGCTCACCGAGTTGTAAGAGCAGCTCTCAGGAGATTTCTAAGTTTCCCGGGGGCACGTGGTGTAACCAAGTGTTTGAGTCTTACCCAAAGGTGTCCCTATGGGGGGAAGAGAGGCTCAGCCCCCCGACTGACCCCAAAAGTCCAAGATAGTCCATGACTCGTCGTCAATGGTGTCTTCCCTAACATCCTACTCTCTCAAGCTATTTTATACTATTTTTTAATTTTCAGGGGGAGCTTGAGCGACTCTGGTCATACATACCTTTGTTATCCTTGGGGTAAAATCACCTCGCTTTGCTTTTAAAGGTATAGATTAGAGAAAATACAGAGCACAGACTCAGTGAGGGGAGGCAGGTAGCTTTTGGGATGGAGGTGTGTTTTGGTATTACAATGAGGTTATAACAAGCTGAGTTCACTTCAGGAGACGAGTTTGTCAAAAAAGACAACAGACTGCTGGCCGGGGGAGCCACTACGCAGCTTACCAGTTCCATCGTACCGTCCAGTTCCCGTCTGAGCAATGGTATTGCAGAGCCTGGCTGCAGTGTCTCCACTCTGCTCCATCCTCCGTGTCACTTCTCTCAGAGCCAACACACCAAGCTCCCCTGGTGTGGCCAACATCTGTGGCCGCAGGTTGAGTCGCCCAGGGAGCAGATTTTTTTGCACATCACCTGCATTCCATCCTGGAAACCCCCTCGTTGCTGTGCAGGGGAAGGTGTCTCAACAAGTCCCCCCAGCAACTACTCCACAAGCTGAGACTGACAAAAACACTGCCTCCCATCAGCTGAGCGTGCGGAGGAACAGTTTCTAATCTACACTGCATCTCTTCCAGATTGGCCCTGGGGGCAAGTCAGACCTGCCCCCAATTGACGGCCCCACAGACATGGACCGGGGCCCCATCCTGCCAGTGCCACTGGGGATCCGGCCGGTGCTGAGTAAATACAGAGTGGAGGTAATTGCCTTGGAACATCAAGTTTTAATGTTCGGCATTGTGTGGGGCAAGAGAGCCTGTCCATGGGTGGTTGAAGGCCAGGAGGGGTCTTTGAGTCTTGGATGACCAAGACCAGATGTCTGCCCTGCAAGGATCTGCCTGTACTGGCTGCACAGGGAGCGAGGCTGCAGCAGCCCTAAAAGGACAGGGATCTGGATGACTCCTGGCTGTCTTACATGTGGGCACCATAGCCAGTCTAGAGGCCTCCAGGGGGCTGAGATGCAATGTAGGGCGCGTCAGAGATACACACGTCACGCACCTCCGCCAGAAGCGGTCCCATAGGTCAGGTGAGCCTCATCCCACCAATCTCCGGCATCAAGGGCAGGATGTTCTTGGATATTTGTGGGTTGGACTAGAAGACCTGTAAAGGTCTCTTCCAACCCAAACCATTTTATGACTCTATGAAATCTAGAGGGTGATGCACCCAGTCAGGGTCCCTCTCCCTTGGTTGTCTTGGTGCTGATCCAGGCAATACAGCACTGACATGGATTGCACAGTTCACCCATGGCTGTAGGTATCTCTGCTCAGCTGAGGGATCCTAGCTCCTGGTCTTCCAGACATTTGCATCTGGTTAAACAAATTGTATTCCTGTGATGTGCAGAGTGAACAGAGCCATGGGGAATCAGGACGTGGAAAAATCTCAGTTTAGGGAAGCTTTTGGTCACGGTGGCGGTCTGTTACCCTAAGAAGGGAGAAGCAAGTTACCCCAGTGATACTGATATCACTGCCCAGGCAATGACATTTGCAGGAGGCTCCCTGCTCCTGGGGGACATTCAGAACCAACTCCTTTGACTCCAGCCTGGCTCCAGCCAGGGGCAGTCCTTCTCATATTCATGTTCTTCCTTCTCCTCCTCCTGCCCTAGGTCTTGTTTTGGGGGCTCAGGGATCTGAAGAGAGTGAACCTGGCCCAGGTGGACCGGCCCCGTGTGGACATTGAGTGTGCCGGGAAGGGGGTCCAGTCAGCCCTCATCCAGAACTACAAGAAAAACCCCAACTTCAGCACTTTGGTCAAGTGGTTCGAAGTGGTGAGTGTTTCCCCTTCCCCCTGAGCCCTGAACTGGAACCCGGAATTTCGGGAGCCCAAACCATGGCTCCTAGGCCCTTGCTTCAGTTTCCCCACAGCAATGAAGGACGTGAGCTCATCCCAGTTGGCGATGGCCTTTCTCTACGGCTCCCAAGCCATGCTTTGCTGGAGCTGCTCTAGACCTCTTCCTCCAATGCAATCCTTGCTTTAGTCCCTGCTGACCTTTCCAGCTACCAAAGCAGACATCCCACAGCCCACCCCCAGCTCTTGGTAACCAGCACAACTTTGCTTCCCAGGACCTCCCGGAGAATGAGCTGCTCCATCCACCCCTCAACATCCGGGTAGTGGACTGCCGGGCTTTTGGGCGTTACACCCTGGTGGGGTCCCATGCCGTCAGCTCCCTCCGAAAGTTCATCTACCGCCCACCAGATAAGAAAGCCCAGCACTGGAATATGACAGGTACCAGGCTTGGGCCGTGGGGACCTGGCTGGTATGGGTCATCAGTGGGGCATTGCATGCAGAGAAGAGGGAGATGGGTAGAGGGTTGTAGGGACTATGGAATATTGCCTGCTTGTTGGTCAAGGAAGCAGTGCTTCTGGGCTTGGGTCAAGAGGGTGAGAAGCCACAGGGTGCGAGGCCATGATTCCCCTTTGATTTGTTGATCTGTGGGTCTCACTGTGACAACGGCATGCTCTCGCTGAGAAAGGCCGGTTCACCTCTAACACCTCTGCAGCTTCATGACTTCTAGACTCCCCAAATGTTCCTCAAGATTGGGAGGTGAACTTGCTCAGTGCCTGCTGCTGCTATTATTTGAGTAAAGACTAGAAAGCTAGAGATTGAGGCCAACCCCTCAGTTGCAGTCACTACCCACAGCAAAAGCCATCATAAACCCACCTTCCCTGCACCCAGCAAATCAGCCAAGGGCCTGGTGGGCCACAGGAATTGCTCATCTCCTCCCAGTCCTTGGTGGAAGTGGAGGCACTCTTGGCTGGGCAGAGACAGGAGGGAGGGTTGCCAAGAGCCATCCCTGGTTTCAGCCAGAAGTCTGGATCCGTGGTTGTGTCCATGCCAGATTGCACTTTCAGGGCAATCATCTTCTCTGCTTCTTCTCCTCTGGACACTGGTGCAGGTGAAAAAACTAATCCTTTCTCATCATCTACTTCCCTTTGCTATGGAAAGGGGAGGGGGTTCCCATGCAGTAAGGGTCTGTGCTCATTTCCTCTGCTGCTCTTCTCTGAACAAGGTGGTTACACATCACCCCTGCATGAATCCTGTAGGATCTCACCTGAGCTCAGTTTCTCCTCTACACTATCCTTCTCCCTTGTTCTTTCTCTGCCCTCTTGTCCAGCTAAACACCTCAACGGCTATCTGGCAATGGCCAACAGGGCCCATCGCTCTCGCCCCACAGGGGAGATCGTTGTCAATATGGAACCTGAGGTTCCCATCAAGAAGATGGAGACGATGGTGAAGCTGGAAGCTGTGAGTATCCATATGTCAGCACCTCTTCAGCACCTCTTTCCTCCCTGACTTGCCAGTCTCTGAGGGATTCCACCCAAACAGAGGCAGCCTTGTACTGCTGAACGTGGAGTTGGGCTGATGCCTGGAATGAAGGGCTTTGGGTCATCTCCAGTCCTACAAATTGCCCTTTTTCTGTCCTCACCGAAATTAGCTGTTGCTTGCTTCTCAGAAGAGGGCTGTCCTGGGTTAATGAATCTGAATTAATGTCTAATTAAAATTAGACAGCTTCGTGTTTTCCTTCAAAAACAGTTGGATGGGAATAAGCACCCACAAGCACAGCCCTGTCCCTATCTGCGACCAACGCAGACACAAGTGACCTGTCAGAAATTCCCCGTCCGCAGGGCTGCGGCGATCCTGCCCTTCCAAAGCACCGCACACCGCGCAGCCGCTGCCAGCAGCCAGGGTCACGCAGATTTCCCTGGTGCTTTTTCGGTTTTTACAATAGTTTTGAGACGTTCAGGTGGCTGCATCAGCTCGTGGAACTGCCCATTCAGCAGTCTGGGTGGGCGGTCAGCACGGTGGCACAGCCTGGGGCTCTACGGGGCGTAGAGCTGATCCGGGCACGCAGAGTCAGTCTGAGGCACCCGAAGCTCTTTAGAACTATTGTGCTTGCCCTGAAAATTTGGTGCTGTATGCATTGGGCAGGCAATGTGTCCCGGAGGCATCAGGCTTCGTTCACACACGAAATGTGCCTGTGCCTATTTTCTTGCCCAGAGCAGGAATCCCAACCCCTTCTCATGCCTTTCTGCTCCAGAGCTTCCTCCACAAAAAGGAACAGATTTCTTTTTGCAGGAGGCCCTTTGCAGCAACATGCACATGCAGCCCCCCGAGACCAGCAGCACACGTGCTCACATGTGCCTACAGGCATGCTGTGGGCTCCAAGCGCGCATGGCCCCTCACATGTGTGCATTTACAGACAGGCTACGGCACAGGGCCTCGTGGGCACACGTGTACAGATACACACATGTAGACACCCCCCACAAGGTCCCTGGTGCATTCACACGTGCACCTATACGGAGAATCCCTTGGATCTGCACAAGAAGCTGTACGGCGTGTGTCTGCTCACACAGCTCCGTGCAGCAGGAGCTACAGGGTATGTGCTGGAGCACCCCAGCACCCATCCTGAAATCTACCGCAGTAGCTTGCAGAGAGGTGTTATCTATGCTGACGGCCAAGGCGTCTTCCCAGACCCAGTCACTCACTGTCCAGGGCTGTGCTTCTCTGCAAGAGAGACGTCTCCCAGGCGGAGGAGGGTTTGGTGTGTCACAGCAGACATCTTCCCCCATCTGCAGAGCTTTCCCAGCCAGGGCTCTTCATTCAAGGCGTTCAGTTCCATCATCCTCGGGGAGCTGTCTGTGGCTTCCCACGCGTGCGTGTGCCAGTGTGTATTCGTACCGGGCTGAGGCTGCGCTGCTAACCTGCTCTTCCTCTCCCTGTTCCCTTCCACCCCGGGCGGCAGAACTCCGACGCAGTGGTGAAGGTGGACGTGGTAAGTGGTGGATCTGCTCTTCATCCCTGCTCCCAACCCTCCACACCCCATCCTACCCTTCTGTGTCGCTTCCAAGGGACTGTGCATCCTCCCAACCCCAAGACAGGCGGGGACCAGCACCCTTTTGTCCCAAGGCAGAGGCAGAGCAGCACTGCCTCATCAATAGATATGGCAGTGGCCTTGTCCTTGCAGATCTGGAAGCTCTTCTGGGCCAGCACTTCTCATCCCAGCTGTCCCAGGAGGAGCAGGGCAGACAGCACCCTGTGGGAGAGATGCTGGTTATTCCCACCACAACCAGATACCAGTTGCAAAAGGCTTTATGGCACCACTAAAAGTAGGCAGGGTGCTCTGCTGGGCAGAGGGAGGACTGCTGCCAGATAAGACTGAGGTGCTGTAGCCTGGAAAACGCGTGGATGAAAGCGAAGACGGAAAGGAGGAGATGTCTCGGGACTCTGTGTCTCTCTGGAGTCTTGGGCATCTTTCTTTGCTGCTCTGTGCCTCAGTGTCTGCGGCGCTCACTCGGGGAAAGTGCTAATGAGGCCACTCAGCCTGGAGGGTTCTGCTTTCTCAGGTCTTTCACCCACCACCGCTGGGCTTCAAGAGACATTTCACTTTCACCTGATCCCTCTTCTTCTCCCTTTGCTCCTCTTGTCCCTGCAGTCTGAGGAGGAGAAGGAGAAAAAGAAAAAGAAGAAGAAAGGAGGAGGAGGCGAGGAAATAGAAGAGGAGGAGCCGGACGAGAGCATGCTGGACTGGTGGTCCAAGTACTTTGCTTCAATCGAGACGATGAAGGAGGTGGGTGCAGAGCAGAGGAGGGGTGTAGGTCAGGGGGAAGAGGAAGATGTTGTTTCCTGCCTGTGAGGCGTCATTTGTTTCCAGCTACTTCCGAAGGCTTGGGGCTGTGCTGCTTTCCTCGGTAACCTTGCCTGACTGGGGGCAAGGCTTCTTGTTTTTTTACCTGGCAGAGGTAGGACTCCTTCTCCACGAGTGCACGGCATTTAACAGCAGCAGTGCTGAAGCCTGCACTGAGCCACTTTGATTTCTCCAGCACTGCCAGAACCTCACTCACAGCTCAGATGGGAAGAGGGAGCTGTGACCCTGAGTCAGGCATTTCCAGCAAGCACAGAGACCTCGGCACAAGCACCCACTCCCTGTTCGCTTCATTTCTCCCCCAGCAACTCCGACAGCAGGAAGCAGCCGCAGCAGAAGCGGAGGAGAAGGAAGAAATGGAGATTGCAGAGGGTAAGCAGGTTGTAAACGAGAGAAGGGGCATGGCAGGACCAGGACTCCTTCTGGCAGTCGGGCATCCCTCTCGGAGCCTGCTGCTGGTCTTCTGCCAAACCAGACTCTCACAGCGTGTCATACATCCCTGTGCAGGATCAGTTTTTGTGAACGCCGCCCTGGTGCGGGCTGTGTGGGGTTAAGATGCTAAAGCCAAAGGAATCCAAGTCAGACCGTGGTACTGTGGCAGCCTCCAACCCATCCGTGCTGGGAGGATGGCCACGTGCACGTGACGCAGAGTAGCGACCAGGGTCCGTGTTATTGTCTGAGGACATCTTTGTCCAACGACAAGTCAGTACGTCATCGACAGTCCTGTGGCTTTGGCTGTGCGGATGTGTCAGCTATAGGGCTGTGTGCTTGAAGGCTGTTGAGCACACCAAGTTACAGATACTTTGAGATCACCTTCACGGGGTTTTCCATCCTTGTTTTGTGGGAAGCTTGAAAATTTTTATTTATTTTGCTCCAGTTTTGCAAGGGAAGATTCAACCAGACAAAAGGTCGGTGATTCATCTGATCTGACTGCTTTTACCTGCCTGTAGAGGCCTCCTTGTCTGCTGTTCTAGCACAGGCAGTGAAGAAAAATACACACTTTTAGGTGAAGTTCTCTGACCTATTTTCAATACTGTGTTACGACCCGATGAAATGTGCCCGAAATTTCTCTCTGAAGGAGGTCAGGGGTCTGTAGCTCAGATGGGCCATTGCAGATGGCTAAAGCTGGGTGAGACAGATTTTGTACAAGTGACGTGGGCCAAGAATATCGGTGAGTGGGTTGAGGGTGACTTTGTTCATTTGCAGCCTGGAGGCTCCTTGCCAGTCCCACTAATGGGGCTTGGAGGGGTTTCCCTGAGGACTTTCACCCACATTCTCCATACGTTCCTTGTCCCCATGACAGCGGGTTGCTGTTGAGCTCAGGCAATGCAAAATCCATTAGCTGAGAAGAATACAGAGCCTGGTTTCTTTTAGAAGACCAGTCTTCATATCACAAGGAAGACGAGGCTGGGTCTTGCTGAGCTTGGAGACAACTCTGAGCAGCTTGTTCCTGGGCTCGCTGTCATGGCAGGGCTGCTGGGGGGTGGCTTATGTCCCACATTCTGTCTTCTGAGAAGGATCCATTTCCCCTTGATGCTCCCATTCCTTCCTCCTTCCCTCTTCCACGTTAAGTCTTTGGCTGTTGTCATCTGTCTGTCCCCATCCGCATGTCCCAGCAGTCATGAAAGCTGGCAGAGGCAGTGAGGGTTGGGGACTGCAGCGGGGCAGGAGAAGTGCTCTTTGAACAGGCCTTCCCAGGCAGCCTGTTCCCAGCGTAGCTGATGTTCCTGGCTGGTGGTTGCTCTGAATAGAGACCCCAACAAACTGTTGTTGCAGCTGGCCAGGGGCAGCACCTCTTTAAGGGCCTGTGCTCTGGTGCTGAGCATCAAGCACTGTCCCCTCTGTGATACCTGGGCCGGGGTTTTGTTCTCCAGGCTGCAATACGGCAGGAAAAGTCTCCAGTAGAAGGAAGGAAAGGAGATGCTGTGGGCAAGGTCAGGTCTTTTTGCTGCAATTGAAGCTAGCCACAGTCCAGCGCTCTCAGGCCATGTTTTGTAGTCCTCCAGATGACTCCTGTACAGGTCACCTCTGGAAGCTCCCTGCAGGGAGACCTCTGGGCTCCTGGAGATGCTGTGACCTGGGCAGCAGTGACCAGAGTCAAGGAAAGACAGGAGAGGGCTGGGGTGGGAGTTGCAGGGATGGGAGTTGCAAGCAGTAGCAGCTGTCAGCTTTCATGCTCCTCCTGTTTGAAGGGCTTTGATCAAGTCCCCCCCTCCCCGTCTCCTCCACCCCTCCTCACCCTTGCTTCCACCTCCTCCCTCTCTGCCGCTTCCCCTCGGACTCAGAAATCAAACTTGATGACTCTCCCATGAAAGGCTCCAAGGGTCAGGCGAAGAACAAGGAGAAGTCCAAGGCACCCAAAGATGATAAGAAAAAGAAGCAACAGTCAGCCCCTGAGCTTCCCGAGAAGAAGAACAAGCAGAAAATTGATGAACTGAAGGTGCGTGTGCCAGCAGGGGAGGAGGAGACCCTGCCTGCTCAGTGGCAGGCTACAAGTCTGGCGGGATGGCAGTCCCAGACACCTGCAGATCAGGGCAGGACAGATCAACCCTGCCCTGAGGCACCTTGCTTCTCCAAGGGGTACCTAACCCTAGGTGAGATGTGCCTTGGGACTGCCAGCTCCTCTCCATAGTTTGAAGGAGTCGGAGGTAACAAGCTTTACAGAAAAGGGGTTGCCCTGGGATGTCGTTACCCTTGGGGCAGCTTGGATGCGCCCTGGCTGGTGGGGAGATTGTTCCAGCCTGGCCATGGCTGGCCCAGCCGGGACTCGGGGCAGGGATGGGTTCTGGTTCCATGTACTGTGGCCCATAGTGTTTGTTAGGATTAACTCAGTCTGTGATTCCGGGGTGCAGCAGGGGTTTGAATCTGGGTCTTGCACAGAGCGGGGGGACAGCCACCTTGCCCATTCAGCCGAGCATCCCTCTTGCACGTTATCGGTTTGGGGAGGTGCTTGTAGCAAGCAAGGTGCAACCCAATGACCCTTTCCCTTCCTAGAGAATTGGGTTCTGGGAGCCGAGGTGTCCATGTTCCCTTTGAGTTGACTCGGGTGGGCACCATATCTTTTCCTCACTTTTTTTTTTTTTTAAACCTAATTCCCCTCCTTTAACTTTCTCTCATCTCAGGTCTTCAACAAAGAGCTGGAAACAGAGTTTGATAACTTTGAGGACTGGCTACACACCTTCAACCTGCTCCGTGGGAAGATTGGGGACAACGACGACAATGCAACAGAGGAGGAGCGGATCGTGGGGAGGTTCAAAGTGAGCTTGCTTGCTGAGCTGGGCCAGGGCAGGGGCAGCTTGGGGAGCTCTTGCCAACACGTTTCTCTGCTGAAGCTGGTTTAGGAGGAAGGGGTTGGATGCAACAGAACCCCATTTGCATTGACCCGGCTGCAGGCACCTTGCAGGGAGGGAAAGCCTCCAAGGATAGCCCCAGAAGTCAGATAGCTTCAAAGAGTGCATCCACAGAAGTGGTGGTCTGCAGGCAAACAGATCCTTGATGATTCTTACAGAAGGCCAAGGGGAAAGCAGATCCTCTTTCTTGCCCTCTGTGGAAATAAGTTGTGCCCTGGGTTATCCTGCGGAACTAAGTTGTGCCCTGGGTTATCTCTGTGAACCGTTTTTCACCGATACAAGGTCACCTGGGCTGACGGCCATGTTGCACCATCGCCAGTCCCGAGGCGATGGTGCAACATGACTGTAGGAGCCCATCTGTCAACTATAAGTTTCTTGAACAAGAACCTTTTTGAGGGTGTGATCCTGGCCAGATGAAGCCTGTTGATTCCAATTTTGGCCTTCATTTGCTTAGCAGAAGAGATGAGCAGGCAGTTCCCCACCTTACCTGGGATCAGATGCTTAGGGAGCATAGAAATCAGCAGCGTTCCACGTGGTTGTTGCCAGATTTTCCAGCTCATCCCGTGTCAACCCTTTTATTCCTGTTGCCATTGTCCTCCTGTCAGTTTTACTCCTGGAAGCCCCTGTCCACGAGCACCTTGTTAGCCTGATTTCTCTGCAGGGCTTCTGCCTTTTGTCCAATTTCTCCGCTCATGGTTGCAGCCCTTGGTGATGTGTTTGTGCAGTGGAGGAATTTTCCAGAACTGTCCTGTCTCCTGCAGCATGTGGCTGGAAACAAGGATATTGCCTGGGCCCTCAGGAAGGGTGGTTTGGGAGGGGTCTGCTTACCCTGAGTCCCCGGGCAGCAGGACTCTCATTGGGCTGTGCCCTCCCTTGCACTAGGGCTCCATCTGTGTCTACAAAGTGCCGCTCCCTGATGATATCACCAAGGAGGCAGGATACGACCCCAATTTCGGCATGTTCCAGGGGATCCCCAGCAACGACCCCATCAATGTACTGGTCCGAGTCTATATTGTGCGGGTGAGTACAACCATGTGGTGCAGTAAGGCATCATCCTGCTCTCCCTTCCATGGCACACACCCGGGAGCTGCCCCCAAAGCCGTGGGGACGTTGGGGTTTGGCTCTCAGTGCACCAGAGCCCAGGACACAGCACGAGAACTGAAGCAGCTCATTGATGGGGGCTTGAATGGTGCCTCTGTAGCTGTGCGCTCGAGCACTGGCAGCCAGATGCAGGCTCCTGCCAGATCCCGAGACCTTTCTCCTGGTGTGTAGGACAGATCAGCTGAACTCAAGTGAATGGTCTGGATCAGCCCGGACTATGGGGCACTGGTTCTTCACATCGCCACGCGTTAAACAAACACAGACTGGTCCAGGTGTCTGCTGTTAGTCTGAACCCTCCGTTTCCCAAAGCAGAGTCTCAGGCATCAAATCTCATAAAAATAAATCATTGAATGCAACGATACAGCCTCAGGGTCAGCTCGAGCTGGGTGCCTCTGAAGAGGGCCCCCCTCGGTTATTTCCCTGTGCTTTTTAAAGCCTCACAATCCATTACATGAGCTGCTCACCTGCCTGTTCAGGCGACAGGCGTGTGTCTTTTGTCCAGTCAAATTGTTTGGTGGCTGCTTGTCCTCCTCGATAACTGGAGTTTTGGTGCGGGCAACTTTACCTCCTTACGCGGTTTCACAACCTTTTTGTTCCACCTGCCCCTGGAACTCCTCTGTCTCCTGCTGATCCCAGGTAAAATAGTCTCTCTCTTCATTTCCTTGAATTTGTAAACTTGCCTTTGGTCATAACGGTCACTCTCATTTCTGTTGCTAAGCAGGCCGTCTTTGTTAACGTGACTTGTACAATCTCATTCGCTCTCATTTCTGTTGCTAAGCAGACCGTCTTTGTTAACGTGACTTGTACAATCTCACTGCATTAGCTCAGCTACAATGCACCAGTCGTGCAAAACTACTTCTGGCCGTTCTTGTGTCGAAGGAAGAGTCCAGCCCAAGCCCACCCACCTCCAGGTCACAGCTTGCAGCCTAAGGCTCCAGCGATGTGGCCACTCATGCTAAGCACGTCAGCTACCTGTGCTGACCAAAGCACGTGATCCAAAGATTTGGGTTTAAGGTTACTTTAGTTTCCAGCTCCACAACATCTCAGCAAAGCACATGCAGAAGAGAACGGGAGCTGGTAGGGGCTGGTTGGAGGGCATGGTGCCTCCTTGAACATGCGCTGAGTGATTATTGATCTGATCCAGCTAATGAACGTTTCTTTATATGTGGAGTGTGCTCTGGAAAAAGTATTTTCCTGACCCCTAAACTGGTCGTCCTTGTGCCCCCAAGCATATGAGAGAGCTGCTGTAGCCAGACACTGGAGAGAGATCTCAATCCTGCTAGAAGCACCTGGGCTGCTCTTTGTCACCGCCTTGTCCCAGTGCACAAATGCAACCTATTTTTGGCTACATTTCCTGCTAGCCTGATTGTCCATCCAGTGCTGCACCCCCTCACCCAATGGGATGACAAGTCTTTCAGCCATCACCAATGGACTGACGCTAGTAGACACCAGCCTGGTCAGCCCCAACAACATCCAGGACTGTCTGAATGTCTCCTAGCATGGGCATCTTCTGTTGTGTGCCATGGTGGAGGTTGGGTCTGCAGGGTTTGGGGATACTCAACCCCTTTATGGGGAGAAGCCTGAAGCCCTTGGTCCTAATGTAGTGAGTGAAGAGAACAAGAGGGGAAGGGGGAAGTCTTCGTGACATCTTGGTCAGGTTGTTGCTCTGGGTCTTTCTTTAGAGGAGCCAGTTGTCTCCATGATGAGAGAGATGCCAAAGGAGACCGTGATTATGTCTCCCTGAGGGGACACAGCCAGCCCCAACCCCTCCCCAAACCAGGACAGGGATTAACTCAAGGCAGGACTTATCTCCAGCTTAAACCAAGCCACTCCATTTAGGACAAAAGAGCTTAGCCACATGCCTATGGCCAGCCAAGGCCAGGCGATCTCAGGGACGGGGAACAGGGCCATCCCTGAATTCTGTGCTACTGTGGATGGCACTGATGTACCTCGTCTGTCCTCTACAGGCCACAGACCTTCACCCAGCTGACATCAATGGGAAAGCCGACCCCTATATTGCCATCAAGCTGGGGAAGACGGACATCAAAGACAAGGAGAACTACATCTCCAAGCAGCTGAACCCTGTCTTCGGGAAGTGAGTTGCCTGGAAGTGGTGAGCTAAGCCTGAGCCAAGCTTGCCAGCCCTTGGACCTGCACCCTAGCCTTCCCTCATCCAATGCTTGAGCTCGAAAGATGTGACTTAGCACACAAAACTTCCCTTGCAAGTGGTGTAGGCATCCTCATTTCAGCCATCTGTCCTTCTTTGCCAGCTGTATGGTCAGTACAGTAATGTCTGTTTAAGAGATGTCCAAATCTGGTCAAGATTAAGAACCTACTTTAGGGATCATTAGGCCTGAACTCAAGTGAAAGTGGCCTGGCTCTCCAGTGACACACAAACTTACTTTCAGGGCTATTGAGGCACCCAGGTCAAGCAATCACCCTGTGCCACCTCCTGTCTAGGGCTGCTGGATCTGAAGCAGCCCCTGCAGAGGTTTAGTTAAAACCCCTGCCTCGAATGTCCTGCAGTGGTAGATGCAAATTAAACACTATCCACAGACTGGAGCAGACCCACCTCGCCCATGTGTCTGTCTGGAGCAGCAGCCAAACCCTTCAACAGCTTTTCTCTCTCCCCTGCCCTAGATCCTTTGACATCGAGGCCACTTTCCCCATGGAGTCCATGCTGACAGTGGCGGTGTACGACTGGGACTTGGTGGGGACTGACGACCTCATTGGAGAGACCAAGATTGATCTGGAGAACCGCTACTACAGCAAGCACCGAGCTACTTGTGGGGTGTCACAGACTTACTCCATGTATGAGCAAAGCTTTCCCTGCCCAGCCTTCTGCCTGGACCCATGCCTGTCTCATCTTCCACAAGCCTAGAACTCCTGCAGGAATCTCCCTCCTTTGTTGCCTGCTAGTGGAGGAGTCTGTGCTGTGCCCTCACTCTTAAGCCAGGTTTTGTGACCAGCACAGCAGGGCATCAGTGGAGCGGGTTGTAAGGAGACCAGGGCAGGGAGGAAGGGACTGAGGGGCACTGGTTGGACTGGGTAGAAGGGTGAGGCCAGAGCTAGAGTGGCAGCACGGCCAAAGAAGCATCAGGAGTCAAGTGGGATGTCCTAGGAGCTTCAGGTCTGAGCCAGCACAGAGTGGCTGGGGTGGAAGAGTGTTAGAGAGGGGGCACAGAGGGACCTGGCCTGCTCTGAAGTTCCACGTCTGCTGCCTCAGGTCCTTTCCCTTTGAATCCTGGGTCCTTCATGGCAGCAGCATTTGTTTTGCTGGCAGAGGGGAACAAAAACACTTTTTCCTCCAAATCTTACTACTACTTCACTGACCTTGCCCTCTTATTCACAGACATGGTTATAACACCTGGCGTGACCCCATGAAGCCCTCCCAAATCCTGTCCAAGCTGTGCAAAGAGGGCAAGGTGGACGGGCCGCACTTTGGGCCAGGAGGAAGAGTGAAAGTTGCCAACAGGGTCTTCACCGGCCCCACGGAGATTGAGGATGAAAATGGTACCTATCCTGCGGGGTGAAGGTTGTCAAGGGGAGTGGGGGGTCTGGGGTGTCCACTTGTCATCCAGGTTTGAGGACAGACGTAGTAGCCCTGTCACCCCAAAGCAGCACTGCAATCACTCTCCATCTAGCACCTGAAATGGACCTTCCAATATGTGACCACATAGACAGAGTCTTATAGACCACCCAGGCCAGCGGGTTGCTCACAGAATCACTCATGGGTGTCCATGGCACAGCATCACCAAAGCTGCCTTTGAAAACCTCCTCCTGGCAGTGTATGCCCAAGGAGGAATGAAGACCTGGCCTTTTCAGGGTTTAGGAAGCCATCCTCTGTGTAACTGCACCCCCAAACAGTGGTGGTGTCCCAGAGCAATCAGGTGTGCTCAAGAAAGATGAAGGCAGGCCAGGAGGGGTGCAGAAGAGGAGGCGAACATGGTCAATGGATACAGAGCTTGTTCAGCCTGAGAAAATGCAGACTGGCAGGGGATATGGACCTTCTGTGAAAGGCGAGGGTTAGAGAGAGGAGAAAGGGAGGAGTTAGGAAGTGTTGGCTGAAGGACAAAGCGCACACAAGGAAACGGAGAGGAGTAGCTAGTAGGAAGTTCTGCTCCCTTGGAGTGGGAATAGAGGAACAGGGTTGTTTGCTGTCCCTGGCGTCTCTCTGCCCAGTTCTCCGAGCTCAGCCCTCCTTTTGCCCACACAGGTCAGAAGAAGCAGACGGATGAACACCTAGCCTTGGCTGTGCTGCGCCACTGGGAGGACATCCCGCGGGCAGGCTGCAAGCTGGTCCCCGAGCACGTGGAGACGCGGCCGCTGCTGCGGGCATTGAGCAGCTTCTCAAAGTCCCCGAGCAGAAGTGGAGGCAGCCCACGCTGCAGGGCCTGCAGAGCCTCCAAGCAGGGAGCAGCGCTGTCAGCTGGGCAGACCAGCCATGACCTGCCTTGTCGTGGGCAGCAGAGGTGGGGGAGGCATCCTGCGGAGAGCGGCACTTGGGCATCAACAGCCCGTAACAGTCAGCTGTTGACCCTAGCAGACGAAATCTTCAGTGCCTCTCCTCCAGCCTGCATCCATGTCGTACCCCCAAGTCCCTCAGTCCCCTGACTCCCCGTGTCCGTGAGCCTCGGCACACGCCATGCCATGAGACGCCTCTGCAGGGGGTGGAGAAGGACTCGTGGCAGAGGGGAACACTGCCCTCCTCCACATCTGGCAGGGTTCAGCCCTGCAAGGCCCTGCCCCACATCTGGCATGGCCAGAGTGATGTTGAAGGGCAAGAGGAGCTGGAGGGGGGACAGACACTGCTGGGTGGAGGGGGGGGGGCAGGGAGGGACAAGGGGAGCTGACTGTACTTCTCCAACCTTGCAGGGTCGCCTGGAGATGTGGGTGGACATGTTCCCCATGGACATGCCAGCGCCCGGCCCCGCCACTGATATTTCCCCCAGGAAACCAAAGAAGTAAGGAACCTCCCAGCCAACCAGCCCCACGGAAAACTCAAGGCTGGGGACGGAGCCCTGCTTCTCCCCTCTCCTGCTGCTGCTCCATGGCCCAGCCCAGCCCTCTGCCTGGGTACCTCGACCATGCTGGCATTTCCAGAGATCCCAAGACTGGAGGCATCAAGAGATGCCTTCCCCTTACAGAGCTGCTCCTGAAGGGTGGTGTCCCGCCTGTTCCACCCCCTGCAGCTCCCGATCTCTCTCATCTGTGTGGACCAGGAAATTAATTTGTTACCCAGTCCCCAGCACAGGGCTGGGGCAGACTGGTGTGCCCAGCCCTGACCCCCTCAGGGGCAGGGTTAGCTCAGGGCAAGGCATCCCCAGGCAGTTTGGACGGGCCCTTTCCAGGAGGTGATGGCTAAAGCCCAGGGCTGGGAAGAGCTGGTCAATCCAAGCAGGACAGAGCAGGCAACAGGCAGTGCCACAGAGTTCTTCCCACCCCACGCTCTCCCAACTCGTTCAGAGAGAAGACAGACATTTCTTTCCCTCGACATCCCTCTAACCCTGCCTTACCCTGCTAGACTGTGTCGTTGGGTCCCTTTTCCCACCCCCAGGGCCAGGATGCAGGGACGGCACTGGCCATCCTGGTGGGAGTCTCTTGCACTCCCATGCCCAGCGGACGATGCCTTGGATGGAGAGACCACCCCTTGATCCCAGTGGGCTGCAGATGGGCTCTGAACAGCAGGGCAGGCAGCTGCAGGAAAGCTGAGGCCAAGGACAAGGTCCAGACACCAGCGTGGACTGGAAAAGCAGAGGGTTGTCCACAGTGCAGCCCAGGACAGCAGTGCTCAGCAGTGACCCCATGAGCCGGAGCTGAGACGCTCCTATTGATGGGCTGAAGAGAGGGTTTGCAGGCAGACAGCCTGTTTCAAGCAAGGTTCTGCCTGGTTATCATCCCAGGGGGCTAATCCATCTCCTCTGTCTTAGCTGGGAGCACCTACTTTTGTAAGTGCGAGGTGCTGGAGAGGCACAGCATGAGACAAGCTCCCACCCATGGGGGCAGACAGGAGGGGCTGGGGCTGGAGGAGATGGATGGCAGGACTCCCCTAGCTGGGCTCAGCCAGGGCACTGCCAGAGGGAGATACCAGAGGAGGTGGGTTAAGGAAGCTGTAAGTCCCCTTCCCCTCATCTGTGGGACTCTCTGGTACTTCTAGCGACGTGTTGTGCTGGTTGGAGCATGGCTGCCTTTCTCTGCCACCGTCCCCCAGCCTTCCTCCAGCCTTTCCACGTTGCAGCTGCACCCCGTGAGGAATCTGGCTCCTGCTCTTCCTCCGCCTGCTCCCACCGGAGCTGCTTTCTCTGTCACCACAATTCCCAACCAGCCCACATGCAACTGGGAAACCCCGGGTTGGTGCACACAAAAGGCGATGCTGGGAATATCTCACAGTCTCTGAACCAGCTGGAGTCCTAAGAAGGACTGTGATGCCCATTTCTAAGGGGGGACAGCCCTGCTGAGTAAGGCGGGGAAACCAGAAGGAGAGCTGGACTCAAGACTGTTTGGCAGATCCCATTTTAGCCACAGATCTACCAAAGACCAGCCCTGGGCTGTCCCATCGAGCCCCTGGCATGGGCTTTGCAGAGGTTCAGAGCAGAGGGAGGTAAAGCTCCCCTTGCTGCTCTGCTCACCCTGCCTGGGCTGACCTGAGCTCATGTGGAGATCCCCCTCCTGTTCTTGCCCTTGTGATCCCTCAGACAAGATCCCTGCGAGCAGTTCCCTGGCATCTCTGTGTCTGACCCTGGTTCCTGGCAGCATCACCCCATTCCCTCATGCTCCTTCCCCTACCCCCGTGCCTCACCTCCTTGTCTCCCTTCCTCCTGCCAGATATGAGCTTAGAGTGATAGTGTGGAACACAGACGAGGTCATCCTGGAGGACGATGACTACTTCACTGGCGAGAAATCCAGTGACATTTTTGTCAGGGGGTAGGTACAGCGTGGCAAGCCAGTGCCACCTCCTCTGCTTCTCCCCGGTGGGGGGTGCGCTAGTGCTCGCTGGGGTCCCTGGGGTGGCTTTGGAGTGGGGAGGTGGGGTACGACATGGACTGTGGTGCAGGGTCAGAGAGCGCCAACGCTGCCGTTATCTTCTGTGCTGTGTTTCTTGCCTCTCCATCTCTCTCTCTCTTGGCTGCACCCCCCGCCGCATGTGCCTGGCCTGGCTGCCCAGCTTTGAGCTGCGGGTTATTATCTGGAACACCGATGAGGTGGTTTTGGAAGACGATGCTTTCCTGGCAGGAGAGAAGATGTCTGACATCTATGTCAGGGGGTAATGGCTGAGGCCTCGCTGCTTGGTCCCATCCGCCCCTCTTCCCCTTTTTGAGCTTGTCTTGATGCTCCCACTTGGCTTTTCAGCCCCGCAACCTCCAGTTCCAGCGTATGGAGCCGATTTGTGGCTAGTCCTCATCTCTGCTTCGCTCCCACCCAGCAGTAGGGGAAAGCCCCTTCCAAAACTCACCCGTACAGACACAAGGGGACCCACACCCCCACAGCCAAATTTTTTACAAGACCTCAAATCAATGCAATGTGGTGATTGCCCACCAGGCTGTTAAGCTGCTCGGTGCTTCCCCTGCAGCCTCACCAGCTCAGGACAGGTCTCCTCTGCTTGCACCTCATGCCGCTGTCAGAAAACTGGGTCTGCTTTGGCATCTCGGGTCCCATCAGCCCGGTGGCTTTTCTTCAATGGCTCTGAATCCGAGATGCTCCAGCCCTTCCCCATCTGCGTGCTGGGGGGATTGTAGAATCACAGAATGGTTTGGGTTGGAAGGGACCTTAAAGACTATTTGGTTCCATGGGCAGGGACACCTTCCACTAGACCAGGTTGCTCAAAGCCCCATCCAACCTGGCCTTGGCCCTTGTGTTTTGTGGGGCAGAGCAGGGCATCGGCACGCTCAGAGCCTGAGAGAACAACCCTGCTCTGGGTGCCCAGGCGTGGAGTCGTGTCCCCGATGGCTGCAGCCTCTCAGGGCAAACAAACGCACAAAAGCCCGAGAGCACACTGGGGAATGGAGATGCCTTGGCTCGTCAGAGAAAGGGGCTGGGGGTACTCACAGTCTTCAAGACAAAGCTGTGCTCTTCTTGGACCCAGACTTGCTGATGTGGACCATCACCCATGTCCCTTTTGCTCTGGGAATCCTGCTCACTGGAGGCAGAATATTAGGGGCACAAGCACATGCAATGGCAGGGCCGTCATGGTGACCCCATCTCCCAGGGCAGCAGGACTGGGACCCCACTGTCTCCAGCAATATGGTGCCCATCTGAGCTGGGGACTTGAGGTCCCTTCGCTGGAGACTGGGTCAGCAGAGACAACCCCACCCTCCAGCAGAGCCCGCAGCAGGCCCTGGATACCTCTGATGGGCTCGGAAAGAGGTGCCCTGACACAGGCAGCCCACGGTGACCGAGCTGCCTCTGCACAGACGGCTGCCATAACTACATACAAAAGGTCTCTACAGCCTCCCCTGGGCCTGTCCACTCCACCAGTGGGGATATCCTTCCAGCATGCTCTGCTCCAGGCTCCCCAACAACGCTCCTTGCTCCTGTCTACCTCTTTAACATCTCCCTGCCCAGGGAAAGACCTTGGACAAACCCCCCCTGCATTTCTTGCTCTCAAACCCGCCCTGTTCCTTCTAGGGCCCTCCTGTCCCCATCCATGCCCATGCCACCCCTTGGAGATGCTGCTGCAGTGAATTGAGTGGCCCCAGGCCATTGCTTGTGCTTTTTAGGTCCTTCCAGTCTGTCCTAGAGACATCCTGGCTGCATGGACAGGATGGTCCTGTGCCCTCTCCTTAACATGTGCCATCCCTATCACCCCTCTGGGCCCTGCAGGTGGCTGAAGGGTCAGCAGGAGGACAAGCAAGACACGGATGTCCATTACCACTCGCTTACTGGTGAAGGCAACTTCAACTGGCGCTACATCTTCCCCTTTGACTACCTGATGGCGGAGGAGAAGATCGTCATCTCCAAGAAGGAGTCCATGTTCTCCTGGGATGAGACCGAGTACAAGATCCCAGCTCGCCTCACCCTGCAGGTCTGGGATGCTGACCACTTCTCAGCCGATGATTTCCTCGGTAGGTGGAGGGTCCACTGAGCTGGGGCAACGGGGCAGCCAGGAGGGAGCCCATGGCTGGACAAGTAGGGAGCAGTATGGGATGAGGCAAAGCCTATATAGGAACAGAACGTGGAAGGGCAGCTCTACTCCTCAAGTCCACAACATCCTACAAAACCCCTTTAGATGCTGCTGTTCAGAGGCTGCTCCCACAGCAAAGATGTCAGCTTTTTAGTTCCCAGAGCTAGTTCAAAGTTGCCTTCCAGGGCAAGAGGTGTTGACCCAACCCACCTCCGGCCACGGACTCAGCATTTTGGGGAGTGCCAACATCTTTCTCCTGCCAGGGGCCATTGAGCT